GCTGCCCCCCAGGACTCGCCTCGGCTGGGCGCCCTCTGCGAGCGCGGGCCCGAGACCTTGGTCCGCGGGATCCACGTCGGGGCCGATCTGGTCTCTGCCCGCGCTGACCCTCGACCCCCCAGCCCCCGGCCTCTGCGCTGACGTGTCGCTAGCCCCACGCGGGCGCGCCTCCATTCATTCGCCCAGAGCGGATTCGCTACCTCGGCGCGGTGGATCACCGTCTTTCGGTCTCCTCGATCGCCCATCGCGGTCGGTGTGGACCTCGAGACTTGGTGTCCAAAAACGCCCCCTCCTCCTGCTGCTAGTCAGCCGCTACCGAAGAGTCCCCGCGGGATGGCTTTCTTCTGCTTTTCTAATTTCTCCCCGCTCCCCTCTCTCTTTCCTAGCCAGTTTCTGCTAGATGGAAATGTGCTGGGAAGAAGTTACTTCGAGCTTTATAAGTTTATTCATTCCAGTTTTTAACCTGGGGTGAAGACTTGGCAGAATGTAAAAACGTAGAAACTTTTTCCTCTTGCCCTTCTTGAGCTTTGATTTTTCTAAGTTATAAAATGAGTTAGCTTGAGTGATCGCCAGAATTCCTTTTCTTTTTCTAAGTTTCAGCGGCTCAGGGCATAAAAAGTAATGATCCGCGTTCAGGAGCTGTTTAGCCAAGCAATCAGGGAAGTGATTGGCTTCTACTTAGAGTTACCGTTAGAGATTTTGGTTAGGGGCGCGATGGGGACACGGGACAGATGTTGAGACAGTCTCACGGAGGTAGCCCTGGTTGGCTTCAAAGTCTCTGTAGCCTAACACAACCTTGAACTTCTGATCCTTGTGCCTGTACCTCTGGAGTGCTGGGTTTCAGGTGTCTGTCACCACACCCCATGAATGAGGTGGTGGAGATGAACCCAGGGCTTCCAGCATGCCAGGCATGCAAGACATGCAAGCTAACACTGAGCTACAACCGTAGCCCCTTGGATTTTCTTTCTTTTTTGAAACTGGCTTTGGAGAATGAAGTATAAACTATGAATGAATCGTTTTAACCCAGGAAAGTGAAAAGACTTAAAAATACATGGTCCTGAGAACGGGTTGTTTCTCTTGGAAACTGCACGTGTGGCTCTTCCCACTGAATTGCCACATCATCAGTTTCTGAGAAGTAGTGGAAAGAACTGCTAGCTAGAATTTTGAAGGGCTTTTGAGGATTTTGCCTGAAATTGATGTAGTGTGACTTGTTGAGAAAGTTTTGTCTATAAAACTATGATTTGTAATTTAGCGTTATGGTTATAATTTATTTTTTGGTATTTTAAATCTATCTGAAAATATGCTTAAAGCCATGTGCAAAATAACTGGATTTTTTTCTTTGCTACTAGCCACGAAGATATCACTATTATTTTAAATTTTTATTACATTTAGTATGTGTGTGTGTGTGTGTGTCTGTCTGTCTGTCTCTGTCTGTACTTGTGTCTTGTAGTATATATGCAGAGACTAGGGGACACTTTTCAGGGTGAATCCTAAAGATCAAATTCACGTGGTTAGGTTTGGCAGCAAGTGCCGTTAACCTACTGAGTTTGTGCCTTTTGATATTAGAAACGTTCCCATTAAAATTAACATACAGAAGTTAAGACTACTATTAAAATATTATAAATATTTTTGTGCAGAGGCATTGTTTAGCTGACCAGGAAGACTGAGTGATTGCAGGCAGAACTTCTTTTTATTTTTCTTTATTATTTATTTGAGACAGGGTTTCTCTGTGTAGCTTTTGGCTATCATGGAATTCACTCTGTAAAACAGGCTGACCTCAGACTTATAGAGATCTGCCTGCCTCTGCTTCCTAAGTGCTGGGATTAAAGTCATATGCCACCACCGTCTGGCTAGAACATTTTCTTGTTTAGACTTGATGTTTAAAAACAACTGATAAAAGTTATGTGCTCATTTTTTATTTTATTTTCAGGGTCATTAGCAGTGGCTCAAGATCTTACAGAAGATGAAGAAACAGTGGAAGATTCGATAATTGAAGATGAAGACGATGAAGCTGAAGTAGAAGAAGACGAACCCACAGATTTGGTTGGTGCTACATATTATATCTAGAATGTATATGACACATGAAGATGCCCCCCACCCCTACTAAATTTGAAGTAGTCTCAATGTAATGCAGACTGGTCCTGAGCTCAAGATAGTGAGGGATAGCCTTGAACTTCTGATCCTTCTGCCTCTTCTTCCCAAGTACAGGACATGGTGAGTTATAGACATGTACTACAATACCATGTTTTATGTGGTATCAGGGATTGAACCCAGGACTTCAGACATAGGGAACAAGTATACTATCAACTGAGCTAGATACTCAGCCCAAGAATATATTCTATTTATAGGCAAATTTGATGATTATTTTTTAAGTAATGTATGAGTGTGTGGATACTTGCATGTGAGTGCAAATGCCTGAGGAAGCCAGGGGCTTTGGATCTGGAACTGGACAGTACGTGAAGGCTGAAGGAGAACAGCATAATTGAACCAGCAGCAAACCCTGACTGTTAAATTTGGAGTCTAGGTCTGTCTTTTGTGTGTGTGTGCTTGCTTCTTTTCATTCAGTAACCTGCCATGACTCCTGTAGGGGCATCTCTACTATGTAACAAGGCTCTGTTCTGGGTACTAGATTAAACAAGTGAGGTATTTCCTCTCCTTTCTTAAATTCATGTTTTTGTGGGTAATGTGAGTGTGTTTTGGGAGCAGGAGATGAAGTGCGGGTGATAAAATGCGCCTTATGATAGTAACAGTTAGAGATGATCTCTTCGAAGTTTGCTCTGAAATTTATACTCTGTAATAATGACAATAAGAATATCTGGCTCAGAGCTGAAGAGATGGCTCTGCAGTTACGAACACTCTTCCAGAGGACCTGAGTTCTTTTGCCTGCACCAACATAACTCACAAATATCTGCAATCAGTTCCAAGGGATCTAGTGCCCACTTCTGACCTCCATAGGTACTGTGTACACATGGTCTATAGATGATATACATATATCCAGGCAAACCATCCATACACATGAAATTAAAAAAAAAAAAAAAAACGAACTAAAAACCCAGCTCAGATTAGGGTCATTGCTACAGCATTCTTCCTCCTAATTTTATTCCTGCCCAGGAATACTGTAATCCCTCCTTCATGAAGTTTGTTTTCATTTTTATGGATATACCTGACTTTTTTTTTAAGTTAACATTTTGATACATAGGCACATGGTATTTTACCTGAATAGAATACCCTTAACGTTTATGCTTTGCTGGCTCCCCCTCCTTTGAGAGACCTTTACTGATGAACCTGTGCCAAGCCTTACACATGGATGCTCTGCCTCTTCAACTCATTTCAATAGAGGAGCAACTTTGAATAGCTCACCCATGCTACCTGCTCTCTCCTCTGCTTATGGAGGTGGTCTGGATACATGGTCTAGTCTGCTGTTGCATCAGGTAGTAGACAGTGGACTTATATTCCTTTGTAACGTGAGATAAATTGTAAGGTTATCCATCTTACTTTGATATGCTTTCTATGTTGTCAGCTGCTCTCGCAAACATTGCTTGCTTTAACTCCCCTCTGGAAGGAATGTTGGCTTTGGTGTCAGAAAATGAGGACCTTCAACAGTGAACTATCCAAGTTCAACTTCTGTGCATTTCCCTAACAATGAGGTGTGTTCACTCTAAGGATCTCCATCTCAGCCTGTGGGTTGTACAGGATTCTTTGGTTTTGTAGCCTCGGCATGGGTCCTTCTTGTTGGCGCTGCTTACGAGCAGATGTGCTTGCTGTCTTCCCTCCTTCAGTTGCTACTCCCTTTTTTTACCTTTGCTGGTACTTTTTCCTCTTTAGCTTCATATTCATTACCCATCAGGAGCCATCCTATATGTATAGTGAAAGTTGCTATAGTCACCAGCAACCTAATTGCCAAATTCCTGGCCCATTTTCCTGGTTGCGTATTTCAGGCTCTTTTTAATATTTGCTATTTGCACTTTGAATCCCACTGTGTTGATACCTCTTTCTCTTTTACTAACTTGCTGTTTTTTCTGCTACCTTCTTCTGCTTACTCCCTGATGTTGGTAAAACCTGATTCTAACCACCACAGCCTTCCATTGATGGCTTTCAGGTCTCCTAGCCCCTTTCCTTGAGCTCCGCAAATATCTCCACCACTTTGCAGGATAGTACCATTTTCATATGCCCGCGATGGAGTCTGGCACTTAACCAGTTTGTCCTCCCATAAGTGACTCTCTGCTTTTATGTAGCTCCAGGGAATTGAACTAGTGTCTTTTTTTTGTTGTTGTTGTTCTATTTTTGTAGGAGGCCACTTGTTTGTTCCCAGCTGTTCAGACCCAAAATAACCACACAGAAACTATATTATTTCAATACTATTTGGCTAATAGCTTAAGCATGTTTCTGGCTAACTCGTATCTTAAATTAACCCATTTCTATTAGTCTGTGTATAGCCACATGGCTGTGGCTTTGCCTGGTAAAGTTCCGGCATCTGCTGGCATGGCGTCTCCTGGCTCTGCCTTCTTTCTTCCAGCATTCAGTATAGTTTTTCCTACCTTGTTCTACTCTGCCC